GTCATGTTTTGGGCCGGAATCATGGAAAGAGAGCTGGTCGGCCCCTTTAGGGTCCCCGAAGGTGTAAAGAAGATGACCTCTGCAAAGTATGTGGAGTTTCTGACTGACTACTTTCATCACTGGTACAGAAGAACTATGCTTTCCGTAATAAAATCATCTTCATGCATGACAATGCACCATCTCATGCGGCAAAGAATACATCTGCAACAATGGCTGCTATGGGGATAAAAGGAGAGAAAGTCATGGTGTGGCCTCCATCATCCCCTGACCTCAATCCTATTGAGAACCTTTGGACCATCCTCAAGCAAAAGATCTATGAGGGTGGGAGGCTGTTTACATCCAAACAGCAGCTCTGGGAGGCTATTCTGACATCATGCAAACAAATTCAAGCAGAAACTGTCCAAAAACTCACAAGTTCAATGGATGCAAGATTTGTGAAGCTGCTATCAAATAAGGGGTCCTATGTTAAAATGTAACGTGACCTGTTAAAATGTTTAAAAAGTTAAATGTTATTATAAGTTTGATTGAAATAGCTTTTGATTTCAGTAAATATGCTGCAAACACAACAAATGACAATTTTCAGTTCTTTACAACCTATAAAGTGTTTTGAAACTTACTGTGCGTAATAATTCAGAACAGTGCATTCTAAGTTTTTTATGTTTAAAAAAAATACTGTTATCATTAGGAAGTTTGTTCAATAAAATTTGAATTGTACTCTTAATAGTTGATAACATGAGAATAATGCTGACTGTTATTTACATCAATTATTTAGGTAAATGAGAAAAATATAATTTGCATAATAATTTGGAACAGGGTGTACAATTATACCTTGCTTGGGTACTTAACTATTTCCCCCCCAACCCAGAGTATTGTTTTCAAATAAAGTCTTACACTCTGCTCCAAATAAAGCTTTTACCTAGCACCTCATTGTATAGGAGCATGTGTGTTTAATGTTTTTTTTTTTTTTTTTTATAATATATGTTTCATCATAATACCAATAGATTCTAATGTGCTGGCACTCTCCACAAGGTGGTGCAGGTATCAAGGGCCACTCCCAAATAAACCCCCCAAAAATATAAACAACTTAATAAATATTAATACCGCAACAAGTGTTACCCTAACCCTACTCCTTACCCAACCAACCTTACCCGTAACCGTACTCCTAATCCTACCTTAGCTCTAACCCTACTCCTAGCCCAACCGTAACCCTACTCCTAACCCTACCCCTAACCCTACTCCTAACCCAACCCATCTCCAATCACAAAGCACTTCGGCACTTCCAAAATTCGGCACTTCCAAATTACGGTTCGGTTCGGTTCGATTCAGCACTTTGGAAATTCGGCACTTCGACACTTTGGAAATTCAGCACTTCTGCCATTCTGTTCGGTTTGGCACTTCTGAAATTCAGCACTTCGGCACTTCCGAAATTCAGCAATTCAGCACTGGAAGCATCCAAATGTCCGAATGTCTGAAATTCATCCAAATTTTCATTCAGACCAAACTGAATTGAACATGTCTACTATGTTTCATCATAGGCAACTTTAATATTTGATACACTCATGTTCTTATACTGTGTGTCAGTTTCAGAAGTGTCCAGCCCCTGTTCAATCTTCTTTTTGTATGTTTGAAGCGACATTGTAAAGGCCAGAGGGTTTGAGTGCAGGTATACAGGGAGTGCAGAATTATTAGGCAAATGAGTATTTTGACCACATCATCCTCTTTATGCATGTTGTCTTACTCCAAGCTGTATAGGCTCGAAAGCCTACTACCAATTAAGCATATTAGGTGATGTGCATCTCTGTAATAAGAAGGGGTGTGGTCTAATGACATCAACACCCTATATCAGGTGTGCATAATTATTAGGCAACTTCCTTTCCTTTGGCAAAATGGGTCAAAAGAAGGACTTGACAGGCTCAGAAAAGTCAAAAATAGTGAGATATCTTGCAGAGGGATGCAGCACTCTTAAAATTGCAAAGCTTCTGAAGCGTGATCATCGAACAATCAAGCGTTTCATTCAAAATAGTCAACAGGGTCGCAAGAAGCGTGTGGAAAAACCAAGGCGCAAAATAACTGCCCATGAACTGAGAAAAGTCAAGCGTGCAGCTGCCACGATGCCACTTGCCACCAGTTTGGCCATATTTCAGAGCTGCAACATCACTGGAGTGCCCAAAAGCACAAGGTGTGCAATACTCAGAGACATGGCCAAGGTAAGAAAGGCTGAAAGACGACCACAACTGAACAAGACACACAAGCTGAAACATCAAGACTGGGCCAAGAAATATCTCAAGACTGATTTTTCTAAGTTTTATGGACTGATGAAATGAGAGTGAGTCTTGATGGGCCAGATGGATGGGCCCGTGGCTGGATTGGTAAAGGGCAGAGAGCTCCAGTCCGACTCAGACGCCAGCAAGGTGGAGGTGGAGTACTGGTTTGGGCTGGTATCATCAAAGATGAGCTTGTGGGGCCTTTTCGGGTTGAGGATGGAGTCAAGCTCAACTCCCAGTCCTACTGCCAGTTCCTGGAAGACACCTTCTTCAAGCAGTGGTACAGGAAGAAGTCTGCATCCTTCAAGAAAAACATGATTTTCATGCAGGACAATGCTCCATCACACGCGTCCAAGTACTCCACAGCGTGGCTGGCAAGAAAGGGTATAAAAGAAGAAAATCTAATGACATGGCCTCCTTGTTCACCTGATCTGAACCCCATTGAGAACCTGTGGTCCATCATCAAATGTGAGATTTACAAGGAGGGAAAACAGTACACCTCTCTGAACAGTGTCTGGGAGGCTGTGGTTGCTGCTGCACGCAATGTTGATGGTGAACAGATCAAAACACTGACAGAATCCATGGATGGCAGGCTTTTGAGTGTCCTTGCAAAGAAAGGTGGCTATATTGGTCACTGATTTGTTTTTGTTTTGTTTTTGAATGTCAGAAATGTATATTTGTGAATGTTGAGATGTTATATTGGTTTCACTGGTAATAATAAATAATTGAAATGGGTATATATTTGTTTTTTGTTAAGTTGCCTAATAATTATGCACAGTAATAGTCACCTGCACACACAGATATCCCCCTAACATAGCTAAAACTAAAAACAAACTAAAAACTACTTCCAAAAATATTCAGCTTTGATATTAATGAGTTTTTTGGGTTCATTGAGAACATGGTTGTTGTTCAATAATAAAATTAATCCTCAAAAATACAACTTGCCTAATAATTCTGCACTCCCTGTAATATGTCAAGTAGTTGTTATTGTTGCAGATATTGTCCTTTTTTGCTTCTCTTTCCCCATCACATTTTTAACTTATCTCCTCCACTTACATCCCTAGAAAGCATAGTTTTTAAGTTTATTATTGCCTTGTGTTACCATTAGGGAAAGAAATATCCACCCCCTTAAGCCTGCTTTGAGCTCAATATCCCACAACCCCTTGGTTATGTCCACATCATTAGCCCAATGCTATTGCCATATATAATGATCTCACAATAAAACAAGATGATGTCTCAGAAACTACATGATATCATTTTTTCAGGATCTACAACCTGCTTAACTTTTTTAGACAGTAATTTAGGTTTTTATTAATAAAATGACTGTGGAAGTAAAAAATAAAAGTACTTGGTTTCCTGGCAAAACATTTTATGCACTTTTCTTTTGGATGATAACTCCCTCCCCACTAATCTCTACAAGGCCAACATTGCAGTAATCTTGAAACCAAGAATAAAACATCTTCTTCACTCAAATTATAGTCCTGTTTTTTTAACATGGAGCTTTACTTATGTCAGTTTGTTCTGTAGTAGCTTGAACTTTCTTCTTTTGTCCCAAACAATCAGCGTTACTTAATAGGTACTGCATTCTTCCCAGATTTAAGATTAATTATATTATTGATAAATCCTTTAATCTCATGCACTCTGGCCCAAACGTTGCAATGTTTTCTTATAGTGTTGAATATAAAAGAAAATATAAAAAAACAATATAGAAAGACCTCAACACTTGTAAATGCCCTCTTTTATTTGGCCAATAAGAAGTCTGGATTGCCCCATGCACAATTCAGTAAAAAAAAATTCCTTTGTTCTTCTTAGTTTAACATTTTCTCACTTTCTTTACCTATTTATGGAGATTTACTATAGTGAAGGTCTCAGTAGAATATTACATATTCTATGTTCCTATTTAAATTTATATTAGGTATGGATGGCTTAAGGCTAAAAGTTCTGACATCATGTCTATAAAAGAACAGTAGACAAAGGACCACGGGCTACTCTTTACTATTTCCCCTGACTTTCTGGGCAAAGACAATTACTCTCCATCAAAGATCTCTCTCTGTAACATTAGTTAAGCTGTACCATCTGTTAAGTTTTTATGTAGGTATTGCTGTTTGCATAGGGAGTAGAATACATGTATAGATTTTTATAAAGAACTTCAGATTGCGTATTAATATTTTAGGGTGATATATAGAAGTATATTATGGTTAGCCATTAATACAAGAGATATATACATGAAAAGACCATTTAAATCACCTTTAACATATACATATTTATTACAATTTCTCTAACTGGGAAAATTATATTTTCAAGCCCCTATACCTTTTTGTTAGTAATAATTAGATTCTTAGAATCAAAGCTATTGGAGTGATCAAATATCTTTCAATAAACACAGCTATAAGGAGCATTATAACATACCCTCCTCAGAATTGTTAGTCTGTAGTCACCATCTCCATCTAGGTGACAGATTGAGACATAAAACCTACTCAAGTATAAAAATGTATTTATATTCCTTGCAAAACACAGGGGAACAATCTGTCGTAAGTATTTTGTGCGTCCTAATTCCAGATTCCTGGATTTTCTGTCACATAAAGTAATTACAATGAAGCACTATACTCCAATAATAGGTTAGAAATGTATGACGAGTTAACTAATTCACTTTAACCACAACCCTCTGCACTCCTCCCCCCCTCTCCCTCCCAAGATTAACATTTCAATGGGACCTTGAAGGCCAGAAGAAGGCAGCTAGACCTAGAAACTAATATTTGGATACTGTAGTCACAATATTCAAGCTTACTTCACCTTTCTAGTGCTTGTTAGACACTTTACTTTGTTGCTGTCCTTGCTTGTCCTTGGATGTTCTGTATGTCTGCTGATTCGGTACCTTATTGCCAACCCAGATTGTCTCCTGTTTCCTCCAAATGACTTTTGAATTGCAGCCTGAAAGCTGTTAGTCTGTTTTGTCTCCCTTATATTGCGGTTAAAGGCTGATTTTTTTTATTTTATTTTTACATGCAAATATGACTATTTATGTGGTAAGGACAATATAATTTTATGTGTAACATTTCTTTTTTTTTCTTTTTTTTCTTCTCTTTTTATTTTTGAGGCATAAGAATTAACAGAATGATCTTAGATACGTATGGTACATGAGACTTATACAGTGGTAACAGTGTAATATCGGACATACTTTCATACATATGCGCTCTAGCCTCTTTTTTATGAGAGTGAGCTACAAGATCATGTGCGTATGTGGTATGGTTATTTAGATGTAGAGTTAGACAGTCATGAGATATATTCCACATTACGCCATTGCATGTTAAACAATAAGTGAACAAGGTAAATTAACAACTTAAGAAGAGACACCTATTGTTGGGAGGGACCCATCTTATATGTAGGCACTGTTGTATCCCCTTATGGTAGTAAATTGCTGTGTCTTTCAGGGTGGGTGCCTTAGGTGTTGTGGTGTGTGATGCTTGTGATCAGGGTGTGAGGTGGATCCCTTTGGCTGTTTGTGTCCAGGAGCTGTTTGTTGCGTGTCCCTGAAGTTCTATATGGGGATCTAGGTGTTTTGTGTGGTCTCTCTTATGTGATTGGACCCAAATGTACCTGTTTAGGTGTTCCCAAGATTATTGGCACTTTTTGTGTGGTATCTAGGACACTTGTGTGGGTTTTAGTTACCCCTGACCAAGGAGGTAGCAGGGGGGGGGGGGGTGTTGAAGTATCTATCTGCGGTTTACTTATTTATTTATGTGTTCACTGCTTGGTGTGCATACAAGTTTGGCTCCATGAGTTGGGCGAGGTCTACCCGGGATAATCAGTATTGCTACATCTGAGGGCCTGGTATCTATCCTCGTCTCCCTTAGTGTGAACATGAGACGAGTGATTGAAAGAAAGAAAATAACACATAACATGGGCATGTATAAACTGCGCAACAGCTCTCGTTGCTGTCATAGGTTTGGTCGACTTTGAGTCCAGTCATAAAGCTGGGCCTAGAGATGCTGTTCCCCAGGGAACAGAGGGCACTGAGGTGTTTGGGTTCCAGGAGGTGGTCTGCTGCGGTATCTCTGTGGATGTAGGTGTGAATCCCAGTTTGATCATTAGAGCAGGTACTTCTGCCCCAGCAGAGATCTTGTGGACTTTTCTGGCGTGGGTCACTGTGAGGAATCGATATGGTATCCCTGTGGCGCGTAGCTGGTTGGTAAGGTGGCTCAGAGACTTGCGCCACTGGATTGTAAGAAGAGTAGGTGTGAGTTCTCAAATGTGAGAGGTGTTTAACCTCGAAGCGCCGACATGATTTGAGTCTTATCGTGAGAGGTGGTGCAGCGGAGGATTACATCTCTTGTATCCTCGGCGGGTACGTTAGGTGTAGTCGGGAGACGATATATCCCATCCAGGGTGATATTCCGGGCCCCAACCAGGGGCACAATAGTAGCCAGGAGTCTTCTATATATAGTGTGGCAGTTCGTCCGCCGTTATGTCGCCTGGTATACCACAAATTTTAATGTGGTTGCGCCATGCGTGATCTTCATGGGTGGACATCTGCAGCGTGAGTGCTCGTTGTGCTGTGTATAATTGTTGCATATGGTCCTTCACATTGGACATACTGTTGTGGATGTCAATTATATCCTCCTCTGTCGCCCTGACGTAGTTTGCATTTTTTGCACATCAGCCTTGAAGATCCCTATGTCTGCAGAGAGCATTTTCTGTATGTCTTGCACCCAGTTTTGTAAGTCCCTTTTGGTTGCTAGTGAGTTGTCATTCGGAGTCACCAGTGATGGCAATTGGACCTGCAGAGGGTCTGGTCTGGTCTGGGCTGAGTGGGAGGACGGGCCACTGGGTGGGGTGATGGTAATGTGGCCTGGGCCTCCACGGCGGCCATCTTTGGTTGTGCCTGCTGCTGGAGCAGGGCTCCCATGTCTGGATGCTCAGCTGAGGGGCCTGGTGGCGGTGTTTGAATGCGCTGCCCCATATTTACCGGAGCCTTGTCGCCAGGAGAGGTAGGTCTCCTCGTAATGTCAGGGCAGCTCTGCTCAGGAATCCTGCCGGGGAGGAAATCCAGGTTGCAGTAGGCCAATGGTAAATAGGCCCAAGACTAGCGTTTCAGTCTCCCAGTCTTCGGGCTCTGGAAGAAAGGCATCTAACGATGCAGGGGAGAGTCCCGATTCCGGATCTAAGAGTTTTAGGACTGGATGGTTCGATGGTATGGAGATAATCGTGGATCTTTGGCAGCTTTCTTGGGAGTGAATGGATATGGCCCCCATTCAGCTCTGTATGCAAGCTCTGCCCCCAAGGCTGACCTTTAAAAAGCCTAAAAACAATCTTCCCTGGCCTTGTACAAATGTCCTTTTATTTCTCAGATTATTTGGATATTTGTCTCTTGTCATTTAAATTTAAAGAATAGGTTCTGTTGGGACAGATTATTGTTTCCTGGTGTAACATACATTGTTTCACTCTGCTAAGATGTTATCTTCCCTTTTTTGCAATTGTATCATTCACCTTCATGTGGGAGAGGCAGCATTAGAACCAGAGAAAAGTAGAATGTGACAGCAGATCAGAACCATTCAGCCCATCTAGTCTGACCAATTTTGTCTCTTATATCTAGGATAGCCCACACATCCTTCACTGTGTTAACGTCTACCACTCCAACTAGAAGGCTATTTCAGAAATCCACTACCCTCTTGTAAAGTATTAGGTTGGTTGAAATAGGCTTTAGCGTCCACAATAAATGTTCTCTGCTTTGCTTTGAATTCTGAAGGAAAAGGTCAGAATTTTAACCACAGAGGCAGTCATGATAAAAAAAATTCACGTTTACAAAGTGCTCTGTGGACTAAATTTGTGCTTGAAACAGTGATAATTAGGTCTCACAATGTGCCTTTTTTGTTTACTCTGTTAGTGCCACTTTATAAAAACACATTTAATAGTACAATATTATTACTACATAGTCTTTAAAACTGACAAAATACATGACATATATTAAGAGGTGAAGAAATTAAGAAGATATTCTTGAAGCCTATTATAACACCCTTAATATGTTATATATTAATATTTTTAGTGAATAGTAAAATAGAACTATTATTATTAAACTCTTATATTTTAGATTATTCTTTTATTTTGGACAGTTGTTGAATTGACTTTTGTCGGTGCCTGCTTTATAGACCTGTATGTATTACAGCATCTAATTAAACTGGAGTTTCAGCCCCACAGTCACTTATAATGAAGCTGTTCTACGGGATTTGTTTTGATTTTCATCAATATTAATGGAGTGTACACATGCAAACAGAAAAATCAGTCGGCTACAAGTTGTTGTGTTTTTTTTGTTGTTTTTTTTAACACAGAAATATAAAATGAACATCTGTCAATTTAAATCAATGCGAGAATTGCTTTGCTTTATTATATTAAAATATAATGTATATTAAACTATAGCAGGTCACAAATTTAAAATTCTATCTGATTTCCTGCATTGTTTACAGAAGGAATAGACACATTTGATAATTCAATTAGACTTTATGTGCTGTTAAAGTACCGTATATTTTTCTATGCCAAACTGCAACATTTTAATCATTACGACAGCACAGACTGATATACATAAGTTTCTTCTTGGCTTAAAATTCTCACCATGCATCAGCAGAAAGTGCAATAACATCTAAACGAAAAGATACACGCTCCATGAATTACTTCTATAAAATGACTTGCTTGGGAACCAATAAGCTGAATAGGACACCGTCAATATGCCACTAACATCCTTTGGGATAGTTTATAATAAAATGTAACTGTAACCATATGACCACGCATGAATAATTTGTTTATTTTCTCTCATACAGAAACTGCATCTGTAATAGGTTGCAATCAACCTCTCTGTTTTAAATGTTTTGAATTCCCTTTTCTTATCTTTTATCATTTGACTGTCTATTGTACTAAGCCACATTGGTTTTAATTTGCTTCTTTTATATTTGTGTCTAATGGCATGTAATGAAAATGCACGTTTGAAGAATTTGTTTAAATACCTTCCAATTATCCTCTGTGGTTTTGCCAGTGATTGAATTTAGCCTTTTTAAAAAGTGTGTTTTGTACAGCCCATAGAATTTATTTATTTATTTTTACTTAATCTTAAATAATACCATATTATAGTCTCTATTTCCCAACTGCTCTTAAAGGACCAATATAGTGCCAGGAAAACATACTCGTTTTCCTGGCACTATAGTGCCCTGAGGGTGCCCCCACCCTCAGGGACCCCCTCCCGCCCGGCTCTGGAAGGGGGAAAGGGTTAAAAACTTACCTTTTTCCAGCGCTGGGCGGGGAGCTCTCCTCCTCCTCTCGCCTCCGATCCGCCCCGCCCGTGAATGCGCCGCGCGGCAAGCTGCTTGGCATTCAACCCGTCACTAGGAAAGCATTTACAATGCTTTCCTGCTAGACGCTTGCGTGCTCTCACTGTGAAAATCACGGTGAAAACGCGCAAGCGCCTCTAGTATGTCAGTACCACTGAAATAAGGAAAGGCTTAACCCATTCATAATTATAGCAGTTTCTCTGAAACTGCTACATAATTATGAAAAAATGGGTTAAGCCTAGAAGGACCTGGCACCCAGACCACTTCATTAAGCTGAAGTGGTCTGGGTGCCTAGAGTGGTCCTTTAACTTAAATGATTGAAAATAAGTCAACATTATTCGTTGGGACAAGATCCAGACAAGCACCTCTCTTGGTAACTGTAAAAATATGACCACACGTGAACAATTTGTTTACTTGGTTTTCCCCTTCACACTGAGACTGCATTTGTAACATTCTCCATATAAGATATAGAAGATAAAGTGCTCTTCACAACATACTTTAGCAGTCATTGATTTTGACTTGTGTGAAACAAGCCTGCTTGTCATACCACACCAGTATAAGATGAATGTATTGATGAATAGCTCACAATGTTTATTTGCTTTGGATTGCTGTCTTTAGAGGGTCAGAAAGACAGCAACATTCTAAAAGGAGGTGATTTCTTGGAAGATAACGAAGAAAGGATGAAAGAAAATCAATGTATAATGTAGAGGTAAAAGACATGGCAAGAAATAAAAAAAAAAGGAAAAATAACTGAAATGTTTATTTAATAGTTTTATGAATAGTTTGAATATGGAGAGAGAAGTAGTGTACCAATTAGGGGAGCTGGAATGAATGGCAAATGTACAAGTACAAATAATAATGCAGATAAAGAAAAATCTCAAATATCTACCGTAGAAGCAAGTAAATAATAAATACTTTATTTATACGAAAATGTAAAAAATTTCCTAAAGGCAATTACCAAAAGTGCTGTACACAAACAAAATGTGTGACAACCCAAAATGGAAAAGAGAAGAAAGAATATTAAAATATTGCTACAAAAATTGATGCCTAATAAATCGATTTACTATGAAAAATATGCTAAGTATATAAGAATATAAATATATAAGAATAAGCACACGTCTGTCAAAAATATGTGACTGGGAATAGCAACTGCTAATCAGGATCGGAATAGAAGCGCTGTTATAAAAAATAGACGCTGCAGGACACAGCCTTAAATGATACGTTCTGCCTGTAATGATTATACTCGTGTAGGATGGAGAGGTAGTAGGGATTGCATGGGGCAAACTGCAGTATCGGCTAAGTCCTATAGAGGACTCCAACTCCCATACATGGTAGGCATAGGTAAACAGAAGAACCTTCCTGAACCGTGTAAAAGCGCCTGGGACTGGATTGTGCCGAAAGCAGAGTGAGGGTAACCAAGTTTGTTAAATCATAGCTAAGCCTTGCATTTGTGTCAGTATTTAAGATGTATAGTAATGCTGAACTGGGACTACCACTCTTATTGCTAACAGGCAAGACTATGTATGGCTGTGAATTGCTACCTATATAGCAGTGCCTGGGACTCGATTGTGCCGGGAGCAGAGTGGGGGAAATAGCACGTAGAAAAGTAAACTCTTATTAGCTAATAAAGCTTGCGTGCAAGTAGTGGACCTTAATCACTGGTCTGATGATTAGAGAGGTCTCTACAAGGGTAATGCTATATTTAACAAATAGCATTGCTACACTCCCCCCAGTGCCTTTGAGGGCACCTTAAGCTATTCCCATGTTGGCTATATATACACGATCCTTAGTACTGTTCATAAACTGGAGATGTGTACAATATATGGCTGTGGATTGCTACCTATAGAGCAGTGCCTGGGTCTTGATAGGTGCCGGGAGCAGAGAGAGGGAAATGACACTTAGAAAACAAACGCTTATAAAGGTAATGCTACATTGACAAATAACCATGCTACACTCTCCCCCCCCACCCCCCCGTGCCTTCGAGGGCACCTCAAGCTATTCCCATGGCAGCTATATACACAAAATCATTTGTAAAGTTTGTTAGTTAGGGATGTGTTAGAGCCAGTTCGCTAATAACAAAACATAATGTAAAGTGCTAATGCTGTCAAGAATGATCGGAGACAGCATCAAGTGGACCCCTGACGCACACGTTTCGACCGACCTGTCTCGTCAGAGGGGAACCAGCCAGTATACCGCGCAAGGTTTAAAAAGGAGGAGAAAGATTCTGATTGGTTCAAGGTAAGTACTTCTTATTGGTTAGACTTCAACATGTCCACATGTACCGTGGAGGCTCCTCCTTAATGCCAAGGTTCAAATCGCAGGAAGTTATAAATCAAGAACCTTGTGCGGTATAACAGCCGGTTCCCCACTGACGAGCCAGGCCGGGCGAAACGCGCGAATCAGGGGTCCACTTGATGCTGTCTCTGATTATTCTTGACAGTATTAGGACTTTACACTATGTTTTGTTATTAGCAATCTGGCTCTAACACATCTCTAACTAACGAACTTTACAAATGATTTTGTGTATATAGCTGCCATGGGAATAGCTTGAAGTGCCCTTGAAGGAACGGAGGAACAGTGTAGCATGGCTATGTGTCAATGTAGCATTAGCTTTACAAGACAAGTGATCTAGATTTATTAGCTACTAAGCGTTTGTTTTCTTAGTGTCATTTCCCTCTCTCTGCTCCTGGCACCTATAAAGCCCCAGGCACTGCTCTATAGGTAGCAATCCACAGCCATATATTGTACACATCTCCAGTTTATGAACAGTACTAAGGATCGTGTATATATAGCCAACATGGGAATAGCTTAAGGTGCCCTCAAAGGCACTGGGGGGAGTGTAGCAATGCTATTTGTTAAATATAGCATTACCCTTGTAGAGACCTCTCTAATCATCAGACCAGTGATTAAAGTCCACTACTTGCACGCAAGCTTTATTAGCTAATAAGAGTTTTCTATTCTAAGTGCTATTTCCCCCACTCTGCTCCCAGCACAATCGAGTCCCAGGCACTGCTATATAGGTAGCAATTCACAGCCATACATAGTCTTGCCTGTTAGCAATAGGAGTGTTAGTCTAAGTTCAGCATTACTATATGTCTTAAATACTGACACAAATGCAAGGCTTAGCTATGATTTAACAACCTTGGTTACCCTCACTCTGCTTTCGGAACCATCCAGTCCCAGGGGTTTTTACACAGTTCAGAAAGGTTCTTCTGTTTACCTATGCCTACCATGTATGGGAGTTGGAGTCTACTATGGGATTTAGCTGATACTGCAGTTTACCCCTTGCAATCGCTACTACGCCATCCTATACGAGTATAATCCTTACAGGCAGCACGTATCACTTAAGGCACAATATGTGTCCTGCAGCATCTATTTTTTATAACAGCAATTCTATACCGATCCTGATTAGCAGTTGCTATTCCCAGTCACATATTTTGACTAGTATATTTAGCACAGACGTGTGCTTATTCTTATATACTTAGCATATTTTTCATAGTATATCAATTTATTAGACATCGATATTTTGTAGCAATATGTTTTAATATTCTTTCTTCTATTTTCCATTTTGGGTTGTCACACATTTTGTTTGTATACAGCACTTTGGGTAATTGCCTTTAGGCAACTTTTTACATTTTCGTATAAATAAAGTATTTATTATTTTCTTGCTTCTACATTAGATATTGGAGATTTCTCTTTACTGTATTGATTATTTGTACTTGTATATTTGCCATTCATCCCAGCTCCCCTAATTGGTACACTACTTCTCTCTCCTTATACAGATTACACCTGAGGTTATCCCCCTTATACTTGTGTACCATTAACTGTCTTTTTCCCTCCGTTTTCATATAAATAGTTTGATGTCAAAGGAAAGTAGCCCTATTTAGAACAAGCACACGCATAATGAATATCAAAAGGTATGCAAATAGTAAGGATTTAAGTAAGAGGTGTATTACAAATTAATTCACTTAATCTTAAAAAAAACTTTTGTGTCACATTAATATATGGTTATTTAATTTATGACTATTTCAAATGTGACAATCAGTTGCATTTCAAGCATACAAAAATAAACTATAATTTCTAGAGAGCTCTGAATACTTAAAAGCTTTCTGGAGATGGAAAAATAAGTTTATACTTGTTTTAAGCAAGAATAAAAGTTAAGCAGTCATAATAACAAGAAGGGATAAGGGAAATAACATGTCATGAATTATCTCTGACAGCAGGAAAGAAATAGTGTTTAAGATTTGAACCTGTAGGAGTGTGTCATGTATTTTAATATAACAGGAGGTAAAAGTAAAGGTTGAAGATCAGTGTTTCGAGTGAAAGTGAAGCATCTAAGTGAAGAATTGTCAAAGTACAGTAAATGTAGAGTGAGGATCACAATGTCTTGCAAGGTAATATGAGAACTTAATTTAAAAAAAAGTGAAAGGTATCATTGTGAGAGTAGGCAGAAACAGGAACATAAAAATGTGATTGAAACCATAATGCTCAATGAAAAAATCATATTAGATTTTAATATCCTGGTACCAATTGCCAAAAGGAACACTAACTGCTCAGTTCACTGCCATTTGTGGGTTAGATCACTTTGTTTATGCCATCGTAGCCACAGATCTTGGAATGTGATTCACACAATCTCCCTACACACTTTCTGAAATAAAGAGGTCAATCTTTCGAACTATCCCTATTGCAAAGTCAGTTTAATTTAGAAGTTCTTATCTCCAGCTCTGTTAATTGCCTGCTAAAGCCTACAACCACCTCATGTATATAAGTAGAGTTCAATGAACAGAGCAAGAGATAAGAGCTTCTAAATTAAACACACTTCAAAAATTTAACTTTTTTTCATGGAAGTTGTATTTGGATAGGGCTATATAAACAAAGTGATGCAACTACTAAATGCCAGATACCTGAGCAATGAGACTGCAGACTGCTTCATTATCCCCTTCAGGACCGAGGACACTTCAGGACCGTCATCGGCATTTTTGCATTGCCGACCGGTGACGGTCCTGAACTGTCCTAACGGTGCAATGTACTTACCCGATCGCCGTCATTCCCCCGGCGGCGATCGGCGTTGCTCCCAGTTTGGAGAGACTGCCTGCAGCCCAGACAGTCTCCCCGCGACGGATTAGGAACCCTGGGGCCATGTGATTGCTCAACAGAGCGATCACATGGTCACAATAGGTGTCCATGTGTCTGCTTGCAGGATGACTGCCTGTGCTGACAGGCAGTCTCCCTACTAGTGTAAAATCATAAAAATAATAAAAGTTAATGTTAATAAAAATAAAAATAAATTATATATGTGTATATATATATATATATATATATATATATGATATATAGACATATTATATATATATATATATAATATATGTCTATATATCATATATATAATGTCATACTAAGTGTATTTTTATATTAATATGTACATATATTAATATAAAAATACACTTGTAATTAAATTACACACGTATATATATAATATATATAATAACTATATATATTGTATATAAATATTATTATAAAATACAAAAAAGTATTTTAAATTAAATAAAAACATGTAAAAATAATAAAAAATTTAGAAAATATATATAGCTATATGAAATTTTATTCTAACTGTATTTTGATAATAATATATATATATTTATATCAAAATACACTTAGAAAGAAATTGTATATATATAAATCTATGTATATATAAATAAATAAAAATAATACGAAATATACATATGTCCATATACAAAATTACATAAATAATTATATAAATATACATGTAGACTTCAAATATATAAATATGCATATATATTTAAATTCTATGTGCGTATTTATGTAATATTTTTACATAATTAAGTAATTTTATTGATTGCAATTTGAGGGACCAGCCTGCCAACCCAGGCCGAAAATCCAGAGAATATAATTTGCTAACACTATATTTTACCCTGTAATTTTCTATGACACCCTAAAACCTGTACATGGGGGGTACTGTTTTACTCAGGAGTCTTCGCTGAACACAAATATTAGTGATTCAAAACAGTAAAACATATCACAGCGATGATATTGTCAGTGAAAATGACTTGTTTTGCATTTTTCACACACAAACAGCACTTTTACTGATGATATAATTGTTGTGATATGTTTTCCTGTTTTGAAACACTAATATTTGTGTTCAGCAAAGTCTCCCAAGTATAACAGTACCCCCCATGTACAGGTTTTATAGCGTTTTTGAAAGTTACAGGGTCAAATATATGGGTCAAATATTTTTACATTGAAAAAGGCCAGATTGATTATGTTGCCTTTGAGAGCGTATGGTAGCCCAGGAATGAGAATTAGCCCCATGATGGCATACTATTTGCAAAAGAAGACAACCCAAAGTATTGCAAATGGGGTATGTCCAGTCTTTTTTAGTAGGCATTTAGTCACAAACACTGGCCAAAATTAGCGTTCAATTTAGTTTTTTACTTTTTTCACACACAAACAAATATGAATGCTAACTTTGGCCAGTGCTTTTGACTAAGTGGCTATTAAAAAAGACTGGACATACCCCATATTGAATACTCTGGGTTGTCTACTTTAAAAAAAATATGTACACGTTGTAGCGGAGATACAATATTCCACAGATTATCTCCGCTTAAGATCCCAGTGAGGCTCAGGAACAAGTAATTATAAATCCACAGGCAAGGTTTCCAGCAGGCAAAATAATCCAACAGTATCCCAACAGCAATCCCAATAACTGGACGACACACAGCATCAGGAGCAGAACTGAAAACCTTTATTCCACAGTGGCCTTATATAGCATGCTCCCATGCAAGGGAGGGATTTTCATCAATTAGTACAGTACCCAATCCGACAATAGTAACCTCCCACCTATCTCCTCCCCTCAGCCTGACTCATAATCCCCTTATACTGTACACAAATTCCCCCAGTTTCTGGATGTACCCCTAAACCTAGGGGTACCCCTTTAAATGGCACATCCCCTGGTAGCCCTGATCTGGGTGAGCAACATATCCAAAAATCACCCGGATCAGACCAGGGGTTCGGGAAATTTATGGAAGTACTAAAAAGACCGACCGCGCTGGAGAGAACAGCCGAATTGGGTTCCATGCGATGGGGCCCTGCGGTCGGTCCCAGTATAAGGGAATAAATTACACGAAAGGCTAAGGCTACAGAGATCAGGTAGGGTTCGTATGAATCCCCTCGTTCGGTTGTTTCTGTCTACTGAACGAGAGGACGTTCGGTTGTTTGGAACCGAACGGACTGGGCTTGTGGAGGTCTCAGCGGGGTTCGCCTAGTCGAGTGTCCAATTTGAGTTCCAGACACTCGACGACAAAACATTAAAATTGACGCCACCACGTGTTCGTTTCCCGAATGCCGGCCACCCCGCGAACAAAGGACCTACTGCATAGCTTGTTAATTACCCGTTTGCAACATTGTTGCAATGGGTAATTGAAGGCACACTTCACACAGAGGAGGTCTGAATGTTCGGTAGTTTCATTCCCTTAGTTTATTCAAATGATTCTACCGAACAATCAGACAAATACACTTTATTTTAACACATTCAAAACCAGCAGTTTACATGAATGCAGTTAAACACATGTAATTTTTAGGGCAGCCCAGTGCCATCGGCTACACATGTGGGGTGTAATTCAGAGATTTATGACAGATAATAGTGTTATAATGTCACTATTGATAAATTTTAAAAATGTATGTTTTGAAACCGCAATATTCTACTTGTACCAATAGCCCTATAACTTGCAAAAAAAAGCAAAAAAGTACGTAAACACTGGGTATTTTTAAACTCAGGACAAAATTTTGAATCTATTTAGCAGTTTTTTTCATTCGCTTTTGTAGATGAGTAAAAGATTTTTCAAGTATAAGTCAAAAAACATATTTTTTCAATTTTTCATCATATTTTTTTATTTTTTTTAAATTAAATTACATGAGATTATATAAATAATGGTATGTAAAGAAAGCCTCTTTTGTCCTGAAAAAAAATATATAATTTGTATGGGAACAGTAAATGAGAGAGTGGAAAATTACAGCTAAACACAAACACCACAAAAGTGTAAAAAAGAGGCCTGGTCGCAAATGTACAACATCGCAAAAACAGTCCAGTCCTTAAGAGGTTAAGCTAAATTTGTTTTGGTACTTACAGTATCCCTTTAAAGCAGCACTTTGCACTTTGAAATAAAATCCTTTCCCTCTATAGCCTTCATTTGTTTTATTATTTGTTATATATGCCCACCCAGAATCCTTTGCAATTGTAACATCACTGCAGATTTGGGATTTCTGTGAGAAAAGCAAGTCTTATGGCTTGACTGGTGTGCAGATTTTTGTTTAACATTGTATTAACTACCCACAGACTTCAATTGGAAGGGGTTTTCAATCACAATTTTTCCCCACCATAACCTATTTGGATTTTGCTTCCCAAGCACTATCAAGCCTCAATAAGCAAACCAGTAACCAACCTCATGCTGAAGAGTTGCATTAACAACGAAACAGCTGTCCATGAGTGGTTCACTGGTTTTGCATCTTTTCCTAAATTGTGTTCCAAGCAGTTGTATACTGCAAACACAGATTAAAAGGAATCCATGTTTAAAATGGAATGAGGCAAAAATGTGATTCTTTGTTAAATAAATTGCATATGCCCACCCAGAATCCTTTGCAATTGTAACATCACTGCTGATTTGGGATTTCTGTGGGAAAAGCAAGTCTTATGGCTTGACTGGTGTGCAGATTTTTGTTTAACATTGTATTAACTATCAACAGACTTCAGGTGGAAGGGGTTTTTGGCTTTATTTCCAATAATTTGGCTTTATTTCTCATGGTAGCTCTGTTTGGAATGGAGATAAGCTGTACAAAAAAGATGGTTTGCATCTTTCTCAAAAGGGAACAAATGTTCTCAGTGAGCAGTTCAGAGGTTTTGCTAGGATGTACTAGGAGGGGGGGGCAAAAGGGTGATAAAACATCAATCCAATTGTCCCCCAAAACAAGGACAGAAGGTGCCTGTAGCAAGTGTGTTAAAAAATGATAAGCTTAGAGTCATGTCTACAAATGCTCGCAGTTTAGGGAATAAGATCCATGAACTTGTGGCAATAATGGCAACTGATAGTGTAGATTTAGTCGCTGTTACTGAGACATGGTACAATGAGAAAAATGACTGGGACATAGCAATACCAGGGTACTCTTTATATAGGAAAGATAGGGAAGGCAAGAAAGGGGGAGGGGTGGCCTTGTATGTGAAGGATAGCATAAAATCTAGCCTAATAAAAGTTAGTGAGGCAAACATAGAGTCCGTTTGGGCTATGTTAGAATTTGGTAATCACACAGTAACTCGTGTAGGTGTGATTTATAGGCCCCAGGACAAATTGAAGAGTTAGATAATCTACTAGTTGAGGAAATAGCTAAAATGACAATGAAGGGGAAGTTATCATCATGGGTGACTTTAATCTTCCTGATGTAAATTGGAAAACAAAATTAGCTACTTGTGCCAGGAGCACACATATTCTAAACTCCCTACTGGGATTGTCTCTAAAACAAGTTGTTGAGGAGCCAACTTGTAAAGAGGCCATACTAGATTTAGTGTAAACAAATGGAGATTTGGTATCAGATGTTACTGTAGGTGAAAGTTTAGGATCCAGTGATCAGTCAGTCAGTGTGGTTTAATATAAGAACAGTGACTGAGTCACACCACACAAAAACAAAAGTTTTAGACTTTAGAAAAACAGACTTTTCTAAAATTAGAATATGGGTAGAGGAGTCATTATCAGACTGGAGCAATTTAAATGGAGTCCAAGAGAAATGTGATTATTTAAAAGTTGCACTATTGAAGGCAACAGAAAATTGCATTAGGCTTGTCAGTAAAAGCAAAAATTCAAGAAACCACTGTGGTACTCCGCAGATGTGGCCAAAATAGTTAAAAACAAAAAGTTAGCATTTAGGAATTATAAAAAAAACCAGAGTGAGGAAGACAAAATGATCTATAAGATTAGGTAGAAAGAGGCTAAGCAAGTTATAAGAGCTTCCAAATCACACACAGAAGAGAAAATAGCACAGTCAGTAAAAAAGGGGATAAAACATTTTTTAGATACATAAATGAGAAAAGAAAAGTAAAACAAGGATTAGTTAGATTAAAAACAAAAGAAGGAAGGTATGTAGAAGAGGATAAAGGTCAGGCTGACTGCCTCAATGAATATTTTTGTTCTGTATTTACAGAAGAAAATGAAGGAAAGGGACCTCAGTTGAGAAAAAGGATAAATGAGCCATTTATTACACGTGAGTTTACAGAGGAAGAGGTTCTATTTCAACTGTCAAAAGTAAAGACAAATAAGTCAATATGACCTGATGGAATACACCCAAAGCTATTAAAAGAGCTTAGTGGTGTACTAGCAAAACCATTAACAGATTTATTTAACCAATCATTGTTAACAGGAGTAGTGCCAGAAGATTGGAAGTTAGTGAATGTTGTGCCCATTTACAAGAAAGGTAATAGGAAGGAGTCGGGCAACTATAGGCCAGTAAGCCTTACTTCAGTATTAGGGAAAGTGATGGAAACCATGTTAAAGGATAGGATTGTTGAACATCTAAAAACACATGGATTTCAAGATCAGAGACAACATGGGTTTACTTTAGGGAGATCATGCCAAACTAATCTTATTGATTATTTTGATTGGGTAACTAAAATAATAGATCAGGGTGGTGCAGTAGACATTGCTTACCTAGATTTCAGTAAGGCTTTTGACACTGTTGCACATAGAAGGTTTATCAATAAACTGCAATCTTTAAGTTTGGATTCCAATATTGTTGAATGGGTAAGGCAGTGGCTGAGTGACAGGCAACAGAGGGTTGTAGTCAATGGAATATATTCGAAGCTTGGACTTGTCACCAGTGGGGTACCTCAGGGATCTGTACTTGGACCCATTCTCTTAATATTTTTATTAGTGATATTGCAGAAGGTCTTGATGGTAAGGTATGTCTTTTGCTGATGATACTAAGATATGTAACAGGGTTGATGTTCCAGGAGGGATAAGCCAAATGACAAATGATTTAGGTAAACTAGAAAAATGGTCAGAATTGTGGCAACTGACATTTAATGTGGATAAGTGCAAGATAATGCATCTTGGATGTAAAAACCCAAGGGCAGAGTACGGAATATTTGATAGAGTCCTAACCTCAACATATGAAGAAAGGGATTTAGGGTGATTATTTCTGATGACTTAAAGGTAGGCAGACAATGTAATAGAGCAGCAGGAAATGCTAGCAGAATGCTTGGTTGTATAGGGAGAGGTATTAGCAGTAGAAAGAGGGAAGTGCTCATGCCATTGTACAGAACACTGGTAAGACCTCACTTGGAGTATTGTACGCAGTACTGGAGACCATATCTTCAAAAGGATATTGATACTTTAGAGAGAGTTCAGAGAAGGGCTACTAAACTGGTTAATGGATTGCAGGATAAAACTTACCAGGAAAGGTTAAAGGATCTTAACATGTATAGCTTGGAGGAAAGACGAGACAGGGGGGATATGATAGAAACATTTAAATACATAAAGGGAATCAACACAGTAAAAGGAGGAGACTATATTTAAAAGAAGAAAAACTACCACAACAAGAGGACATAGTCTTAAATTAGAGGGACAAAGGTTTAAAATAATATCAGGAAGTATTACTTTACTGAGAGGGTAGTGGATGCATGGAATAGCCTTCCAGCTGAAGTGGTAGAGGTTAACACAGTAAAGGAGTTTAAGCATGCATGGGATAGGCATAAGGCTATCCTAACTATAAGATAAGGCTAGGACTAATGAAAGTTTTTAGAAAATTGGGCAGACTAGATGGGCCGAATGGTTCTTATCTGCCGTCACATTCTATGTTTCTATGTTTCTATGTTTCTATGTTTTCAATCACAATTTTTCCCCACCATAACCTATTAGGATTTATATATATATATATATATATATATATGACAAAGCATGGGTGTGTATGTAGAGCATGATGTCAGGCAAGGTGAGAAGCTTAAACAAGATTTCCAGTTTCCATAGTAATTTACCCAGAATCAATTAGTCAAGAGAATTCCACAGAATACTGCAAACTGCATACTTCATGGACAAAGGAGAGCCAAATGGTCATGCTCAGATAATGATATCGAACAAAAGGAAAAAAAGATAAATATAAAAAAGGCAGAATGGAGGAGTATAATCATTAAAAGGGACATGTAGGCATTATAATCATAAGTTAGTGAGTGTAAGAAAGAGGAAGGTAAACCGCACCAAAAGGGAAAAGTGTATTAAAGAAATTCATGCAAATACATACACTATATGAGGTCCACTGATGTATGGTATTATGACGGCCTCAAAAAAATCAGAAAGGAAAAGGTGATAGTACAGTATGTCAGGTAAATATTAAAATAATTTTTATCCCAATAAAATGCTAACTCACACTTTCTTGAGCTGCTAAGAGCTCTGCTGTTTA